ATATAATGGCTAAAACCTAGGAATTCCAGGGTGAACTATTCAGTAAGTGAATAAAAACCCTAACCTGTGTGAATATGACAAATTCCTTTAATTAGTTAAGTGACAGTTCAACTACAGATTAAAAAGAACAGAAGTCTAGACAACCTGGATACTATTGCTACTGAAGTTAGGAAGCCTGCTGCAGAATTCATTTAATCTTCCAAAGATTTGAAAGATTGAAGAATTCCAGGTGCCTTTTATATAATATTCCATAATCCAGGCCCATTTCATGATATAGCTAGAGAAAGACATTGAGAGTCTGCCAGACTGCAGCACTGTAAAAGCAATACACTGTGAAAGAAGGATTCTTTACTGGCCAAAGTTTCCATAGAAATCAGTGTCTTCCTGATTCTTAGAAAGCCTATAGTTACAGTAATATATATTCAGCTAAGTTAAGGGAAGGGTTTATATGTTAGTTCATAATTTTTAACCTTCAAAACATAGATATTCACAAATCAAAGGCCACTGCAACTTTTGGCTGAGAAATTGTTATGCCTGTATATAAAGCACGTGTATGTAACACACACACACACACACACACACACACACACACACAGAGTATGTGACCATTGCTTAATGCTATACAGATATACTCTCTCAACAAGAAAAAGGAAAAATGTGTCTGAAGATTTGGAAAGGACATCCTATCTTCTGGAGGAAAGATCTGCTAATTTTTAGGTTGTCCTTCATTTTTAAAACCTTATTTATAGCTGTTCACTTTTTGAACCCATCTTTTTAACGTTAAAGCTAATTACAAACAATTCAGTTAAATGACAATTTCTTTGCTTGTTGGGAACATCTTGAAAAGGAATTTGAACTCCCTCAGATCTGCTTTCAGAAATAAGGAAGACAAAATTGCTTTTCTTGCTCATGTGTAAGATTGGAAAAACTATTAAGAAAAATCACCAAGTCACCATTTCTTCAGAGAAGGAAAAAGACGAATAAACAAGCGAAAACAAATGAGCTAAAAAATAAGTTTTTGGGGAAAACGCTTTTTTTTACTATTATTATTAAATGCCCCTGAAATGGAAAAACCTGTTGCTCTGCTTTTTTGCTATTGCTTTGCTTTTTGGCCCAGTATAGAAAGTTGGCCAGTTCTCTGGTGTTGATAGCTGGAAGGTTGCTTCTAAATAATTCTGCCTGGAAGTGATTGCATTTTTTGATCCACTTATGTTGAAAATTACTGTTCTGTCTGACTGACATTAAGCATTTAGTTGGTTACTTGCATCACTTTTAATAATTGCAACATGCGAATCACTTTGGCTATGTCTACACTAGCTGGAAGTGCAGCCCAGCAGGCCAGTGTAAAACAGGAGACACTGACTCTTTTTTTTTTTTTTTTTTTTCATACTGCATGCCTTTGGGGAAGCTTTACTCAGGGCTAGCTTCTCCACTCTACTTGAGCTGTACAGCAAGTTTGGTCAGCTAGTTAAAACTATTCAACCTTCCACTGCTACCTACTGTACACTGATGAATGGTCTTCTCTTGTGTACTTGGACTTGCCATTCTTAGAAACATGCAAAGGATAGTTGCTTATCTGAAAGGGCCTGTAAGTTCAATCGCTTTGTCAAGGTACTATCACCGTGCCTTCAAATGCTTGCTCAGTTTGTGAAAGGACTCTTTTGCTGTACAGATGTATATAAACGCGCTTTTTCTAAGAAATCGGGTGAATGCCTAGCATCAAAATCAACACCCTTTATTAAGGATTAGAGCAAGTATTTAGTCCTGTAGACTGTGTGTAGTTAAAATTTTCATGACTTTTAAATAAGAGTTTTATATACATCAGGTTTTAGCTTGTTATACTCATTTACAGTATGATACCTAAAATATTCTTTGTATCAGTCTGACACCTGGGGAGTTTTGAAGGAGAAAGTCCCTTTAGGGAAACATCTGCATAATGACTGTGTTAGTTAGTAACTTATTATAAAACACATGTTGTATTGTTTGCACCAACAGTGCTAAATGAGGAGTGACAAATCCTTTAAGCTGGCAAAGAATAAAAAGATTCCTGCTTTTTATCAACTATTTAAGCCATAAACATACTTCAATGGACATAGTAAAATAACTTAATAATTTTTAACTAGGTGCCATGTACCAACATCTGATCAATTTCTTCCAGCCTCCCCTGGAAGATGTAATTATTTTTCCCAAAAATGCAATCAAATTAGAAAATACAATCAAGTTAATGGTAATATTAAGTGATATTAGCTTCTGACTCATGCACGTATTCAAGGATTGAAAGCAATTTAGATATACTCTCTAAGGAAACAGGAACGTATGATGTATATAATTGGTTACAGCACTGATTCTGACTACACTGAAGTGCTTACAAAGGGAGCTAATTCACTTAATGATGTAACTACTTTTTCCTGCAGTTATACAATACTGTATGAATGGGGCTCAGGAACAGAAGAAACCTTTCCTTGCATCTTATACTAGTAGGTCACTGAAGTCTAAGATTACATTATTTATTTACAGGTCCATTGTGTAAACATTTTGAATTTCCATTCAGTTTTAAGAGACCGAAGGGTATTACACAGTTCCTGTGATCAAATCCTTGGTATGACAAAAAAACCCAAACAAACAAACAAAAAAACATAAAAAACAAAAACCCAAAACATTATTACTCAAGATAAAACAGTCTCTCTGTTTTAGTGTAAACCTGACATTCTGAGCTGCGAATTCCAACGGGTGACTGAATGCTTATTTCTTTTTTATGTAGTTGCTGCACTTAAGCTAATATAGGCATCAAATGCCATGCGGAATGTCTGTCCTATGCAGTTGTAAGTCTTAAACACTTAAATCTAATGTCGCTGCTGAATAAACTAATTTCATAATTTCCTGCAAGTATGATGAGACGTAGCTTTTTTCATGTTTATTCAGTGTCTGATCTGGCCTTGAGATACAGCAGGGTTCACAACACAGAAATACCACCAAGCAGGTCCACGGAACCACCAGACATCATCCTGTGCTGCTATTGTTATTATGAATGAGCTAAATAGAGCATTTATGACACAACTAGGAGACTCAAGAAGGAAACAGATTGCAGAAGAGATCTCCAAACTTCAGAAACTTAGAGGGGTGGATAAAGTCATGTTGATGAAACAAAGGAGTACTATCTGTGTAGGAAGCAGAAAAACATGGTGAACTCAGAAAGAACTAGGTTATATTCTGCTTTGCCAACAGTTGAAGAACACGTATCAGTAAAACTGTATATGACACAGCATTTTGTTTTTATGTTGAGGGATGTTTCAAGTGCGTACTTTCAATGCATACTTTTCTAGCTAAAGATTCAAATAACTGTGAACGTTTATATAAATATACTAATTCTGTCTCTGCAGTAAAATATCACAAAAGAAATAACTGTAAACTGCTGTTTTAAGCAGTAAGTAAGTAAGAAACTTCAGATCAAATCTTAACCTCTAGCATCTACAAGGACAGCAAGAATGTAACTGGTTTATCTGAGAAAATGGGTGCAATCAAGTATATAAGCAAACCTAACTAGGAAGGAGAATGGAAATCTACAGTGATGTTGCAAATGGCAGGCATGTTGTTGTTCTCAGCGCTGAATACTGAGATTCAGCTGGTAAACCAGAATTACTGTACACGGCACTATTTATGGTGCGAGTCCAAAGCCGGTTTATTTCTTAGTGGGTCTTAAATGGAATGGACGGATTTTTCAAGTCAGTGTGGAAGATGATAAATAAAAATTTTAGAGGATCACTAGCTTCCTTTATTACTCTTGATCACATATAATCTTAGACAAAAAATCCCTTGGAGAAAAGTATTTGTATTTAAGTCACTGCCACAGATTGTTGCAAGTTGACTATACACATAAGTTTCAATTCAAGAAAAAATGTAGCAGTTACTTTTGGGATTTCTTCAACTTAAAAAGGAAAGTGATGTGCAAACTTTACTAGTGACTCCAGATAAATTAGGCTGTAAATACAAGATGTGTACCATAACAATTGACCCACTAAGTCAGCCCAGAAATTCTCCAAATCAGAATGCTCAATGTTTTGTCACATAAAGTATGTCTGAAGGAAACAATGTCACAATGTTACACTTAAAATTAACATTTTCTTTTGCATCATATATGCAACTTCTTAAGCATGCATGCTACTTAAAGCTAGGTCTTATTCTCTGGCTGTTTAAGCAGCACAGATGTTCAGTACATGAACAAAGTTAACTACTGATCTGTATTTTCTTATTGTTCAGTTTTAATTTGCACTTGACAGTTTTCACAGTTCCACAAGTGCATTATAAAAGAAACTCTACAGTGCAGACTTAGCGAAGCTGCATTATTAGCCCACAAAAATAATCGTTGACATAAGAATTCTACCTGAAAAGGCCTCATGATTGGCAGCCACATACTTCCTTAGAGGCATTTTACCCTTCCTATATGTATTTCTTGGCCAGTAAATGATGGAAACATATACGTCCTTATTGCCAAAGTATGTTCCAGTTACTGGAAAGATTAATAAGTGGGATAAGCAATGTAAGAGATCCACGTTATGTAGAAAACTTTCCAGGTCTTTCCACCCATCTCTCAAACACTGTTAACCTGCACAAATATCAGTAACTGCTTAGGAGAGGCAGAACTGAAATAATATCATCTAATTTTATCACAATACTCAGCTTTGCCAGAAATTCTCACAAATATTTCAGGTATCTCAATAGTAGGCAGGAATACAATAAAAGCAAGCCCTTTCCAGAAACCATTTCAGCTCAAGAACAGAGAAATGCACTGTAACTTCTAACAATAGAGACACTTCCGTTTCTCTTGTTTTTCATCTCAACCTATTCTAACATGCTCGTAAATGAGTTTCAACATTTTATCAACTTTTCCCATATAAAAATCATTCCAATCTGAATTAAATCCTTTTCTCAAAACTAAATAGCTCAATTTTCTTAAAAGTAGATTAGAAAACAAATGGAATTGAACATTGATTTTTTTTTACCTCAAATACTTCTTCATCCAGAATCCTGGTTCCAAAGACAGTGATGCCATTCGTGTCCACAATTGGTTTGTCACTTCTCTCCAGTGGTTTTGTCGTTTTTTTGTTGCAGTCAACAATCATTGTAACACTTTTCTTCTCCACACTAATGGCTACTCGATGCCACCTATTAAAACATAATTCTACTCTAACTCCTGTTTTGAAGAGTATGTCAACGTATTTATATCAAAGCAGCTTACTACACTTAGTGCACTGATAAAAAGTTGTACCTAAAATGTTAAATGTCTATTTCCTTCACACATGTGCAAATGTATTGTGTTTTGTCTATCCACTGTGTAACTTAGGTTCTTTTGTACAAAGGAATCTGATCCAGAGCCCATATTAGGTCATGATCCTATGTTAGATGAAATTCTCTGAAGCTTTTGCCCAGTGAACTTAAATTAGAAGTGCACTGTTTACATTTTATCAGAGTAGGCTAATTTGATTTTCTAAATTACTTAAATGACTCATGCAAAAGGCTCATTCAGAGTAGCTCTTAGCTACTACGTTTTACTATCTGTTCTTGATGATCAATCCCAAGAATTTTATAACATTCTTTTGCCTTTCTGTTCCAACATAGTAATTTTTCCAGCTACAACTACTGGAAATGATTGCCAATATTCCTGCAAAAATAGCTTCCTCTACATAAAGCTTCACCAAAAAAGTGAAGCAGTTCAGAATATTGACACGTATTTAAAAGACATATAGGTACATTTTTAAGAATTTGCCCAATTGTACTATGTTCTTTATGACATTTGAATGGCAGAGCATATTAATTAGTCAGTCTGCCTGCTATGACTATTTAAATATCTAAGAGTAAGGCACTTTATAATTTAATGTGGAAAAAAAAAAAAAAGCATTTCTGATGCAAAAAGTGTTGAGGCTGTCTGTTTCAGTGAGACAACTTAGACAATGAGCTGCTGTATACAAAGGGAGACACCTCAAGGCTATTGGAATCTGACTGGTAAACAGTATCAGTGAGCCAGAGCTCACTCATGTTTGCTCTAGATCACAGTTAAATATTATCAATATAAAAGCAAACTGTCCACGAATCCTCATGCATATTACACTGTTTACACTTCTTCAATATATTTCATTTTGAGATGAAGGCGGCTGCCCTAGATCCTTCCTAAAAGAGCTGAATCAGAATGAAAATTTCAGTCCATTTTTGAAAGCATGCAAAAGCTGAATGAATGGAAAAAATAGCTCACTATGTGACTGACTCCAGTTGGCTTAGAAGTTTTATATGCCCACTGCAGAAAATTGTACCAAACTATTCTCATTTTGATTTTTCTTTTTATCAGATTCTAAAGATTTTAGGTGAAATTCTGAGATCCATGTTCACGTTTCATGGTAAAATTTCATTGTGTGGCAACTCAGGCCATAATAATTGGTAATTACTTTTCAAAAATATTTCCTTTATCTTTGTATTAACTTACTAACATATCATTGTAATTGAATTTACTTGTCACCTTTTCTCTACCAATCTGTTTATTAAACAAAAAGATGTAATCATATTCCATCTTGTGCATTTCTGATGCTTGTGGCAGCTTTTCTTGAACTGTGGCACAATAAGTATTAATTCTCTGAAAGGATATATGTCTTCAAAAGAAACAATAACAAATGCAAAAAGCACTAGAATGGCATTCCTGGAAACAACTGCTTGTCTTCAAAGGGAAGTTAGAGTATAAAGCATTAACACCTGTAGTTAGAATGCATTAAGTGTTTGAAATTAATTCCCTTTAATAACGATGAAGTGTGAATCCTTGCAACATTTCAAATTAATTATCCATCTGACTTTTCCCTAATTTCTTTATACACAGGCATATCAAAAGATCTTATTCATCCATTGTTTTAGCTCAGGATAGGAAAAAGTATGCATTCTCATGTCAATTTACTTTCAGTTTTCATATCACCTTCAAATGGAGTAGATGACCCTTAAAGTGAGACTATTATTTCAGCCTTCTGAAAAAACGGCAAGAGTCTTCTTTAGTTTACTTTTACCTTCCATGGCTATTTCCTCATTCACTAATTCCTCACTATGAATTCCTCATAATTCATAGAAATAGAGAAGTTTGGTTTTATTGGTGGCTCTGTACTCCATTTCAGGCTGGAGTTGTGTTCCGTTTCAAAGCTCCTCTGATTTTGTACCACAGCAGTTCAACTATATGGAAATTGTTCATAATTAGTTAATTATTTGCAGTACCTATTTGGAAAGACCATTATATGATGTTCTGTGATTTTATTTTTTTTTTTTCCACCTTAAAATTTTGCACTTACTTGCCATCAGCAATGTTGACTGTTCTGAAAAGAGGATAGTCTTCTGGGGCAGGCTTTCCATTTTGGTCTTCAAAGAGGAAGACAGGGGATCTTCCAACTTCAACACCTATTTGTTGAATTCCTTGTTCATTGTAGACAGACAGAAGGAAGGACTGAATGCCCTTTTTAGGTTTTACTGTCATCAATATTGAAAAATCTTCTGGAAAATCTCCATCTGCAAAGAGAACAAAGTATACTGTTACAAATTCTGTAACTACCCTATGGTCATTTAATTTTTTCTCTAAGAGGATCCTATATATAATCTGTTTTTTCATTTGTTTATTCAAAATGAATATAGAGAAAACTACCATAAGAAAATGTTTGCTCTCTCTTGTAACTGTGGTCTTTCTTTAATTCTTAACATGTACAACTTAACTTTTTAAATCATTAAAAATGATTTTAAAAACTGATGAGAAAATGCTTAAGGCAGGTGATGTGTACATCTATTCTGGGCATGTGCTCTTCATTCGGGTTATATCCTATCAAAAGAACTTATGAGTTTTAGAAAGATAACTAAAGATGACTCTTACTTTGTTCAGTAGTTCCCGTTATCACTGCAGCGACATAATATTTCCAGATTTTGCACATACATTGTGTGAATATAAGTAATATTCCTGCACTGTTCATCTTAAAATTCAAAAAATAAATAACTTTCTAACAGAAATTGAATGTTAAATTTTATGCATATGCAGGTTTTGGACATTCAACTGGAACAGATATCAAAGCCTTCTAAACTACTAAATTTCTTGGTTATTCATGTTCTATTTGGACAATACAAAAAATAATACAAAAAAAAAATTGGAGGAAAATTGCTAAAAAAAATCTTTGGGTATTTCTGGACGTACATTCCTGTCATTTATATACTCTTTTGTAAAAGATATTTAATAACTGACAAATAATCAGTACGACAAAATTCTCAACAGTTACTTTTACAATTGCACAATGTCTTCCAATCAGTGAAATCAGTGTCTGTTGTTCTCTGGTTGGTGAATATTATTAGCTCTATTTTTAAATGATGAATTTATTGATGCTCTCAGCTTTTATCATTAGTTCTCTAGAAGCTAGAAGCTAACCTATACTCTCTGATGAGTTATACGAATTAGGTGTAAGCAAGCATAGGATGGATTACAACTCATTTTGTTTAGCTAAAATGGCATCTCACAACTCAACCTTGGTTTTCACATGTTGTCTTTTCACTATCATTAAGAAAGAAATGAAGAAATTTCATGCTAAGAAAAAGGGACAGACACATCCAAGTATCTATAAGAATATTCTATGAAAATGAAGGATTTCTTGTGGTGGGGAGAGGATGTCTGTCTTGCAGGACTTAAAAGGAAGCAATTGTCATAATCACTTCCTAAAAATTGTTTCTAGGCTCTTTACTGAAGTAGAAGGTGGCATGACATTTTTCTTGTATTAAGCAAAGTTTTGTGGTAGTTTCTTTTCACATTATCAGTGATCTGTGCTTTTTATTTACTTCTTGCACACACAAATGTTGCAACAAGCCACTGAAATCAAGCAAACTCATCCAAGTTGTAATGCATAAACTGAAAGCAATAAGAGGAATACTTAAGTTAAGGCTGTCAAAGGCTATAGAAATTTACAAGTCAGCCAACAACATGAGGTAAATATTTGTTCTGGCATTAAAGTAAGAATCAAGTGAACAGTTATTAATGAAGCTGCCAGATCACCTCTTCATGCTACGATATCATTCATGAGCAAGTGCAAGACAACCCAAGCTCTCTGAGACTCAGGTTTTCATTCAGCACAAAGTGCCTGTGCTGTTCTAAACTCCTTTAAACATCAATGAGTCAAAGTCAGTTTAATCTGTCCAGTTGTATTTAAATGAACATTTAAAGTTTTTTTCTCACAGCACTTGGCTTCAAGGATACACATTGTAAAGCTCATAAGGATGACAATTACACAGTGCAGCTTCTGCAATTTTTCAGTATAATGGATCATTTTGCACCTTTTAAAGAAAGACTAATCTCCATTCTGACACCCTTACTTACTTGAAATAACAACTACACACAATCATACCGATATCAGTAAGGCATTGTAAATTGTCAAGTGCCATTCAGTGAATAGTACTTTTAAGTGGTGAGCTCTGTTAACTACATGTAACTTTGTTGAAATGTTTTAAAAATTAACAAATTTTATCTTTCTAGTGAATTTTACTTTGATTTTCTACCAAAAAAAAAAAAAGTGAATTGATAATTAAAACGAACATGCAAGATATGCTTGAACTGTTTGTAGTTGTTTCCCATATCACTGTAGGAATGCATTATTGCTAGAAAGTAATAAATATTTGACCATTTTATCTTTGCTGATGTCCATATGACTGAAACTTCAAAAGAGAAAAAAGGTATTTTCTTTGCTCACAACTGTGTTTATAGAGGCACTTAATCAAACTGTATGTGATGTATCAAAGTAGGAAAATTAAATGTTTCAGGATTTCTTTTAATATCCTTATAATCATTTTCCTCAATATGTTTGGGTCAAATGAAGAGTGACAGCAAACTAATGGAGTAAAAGCCTTTCTTCAAGGTACAATTATTTTCTTCCAAAATGTGATTATTTCGTTTTAGAGAAATTTGAGAGAAGATGGAATCACATTACTTGCTGTCCACAACTAGCCTTGTTAAGTCCTCCAAATACTCAGATACTCTTAAATAACTTATTGCAATGGCCAATCACAACTCATTTCTACCAGCATAAAAAGAATTGCTTTTAAATGCTCTACTGAATCTAGAGGAAGCATGCCAAAGCCACCAAATAAGCTTTCCTTCAGATAAAATCATGGAAAAACTGAGTAACGTGGCTTACAGACTTGTTCTACTGGTGATGCAGAATTTGAAAAGCTTTATCACTGAAACCAATAAAAACAGCTTCATTCCATGGATTAAGAGCACATCCTGTCATTTGTGTGCAGTCACACTTCTAGGGATAACAGAATTATTTTGTGGTACTGACAATGGACTACATGCTGCATTTTTAGATACCGTAAATGGACAGGCAGTAAGATAATTTAACAAAGTAATAGCTTTCTGATAATCTTACCTGGGTACAATTGCTTTGTTGGGGCACTGAGCTGTGCAGTTTTTGAAACTCTGTAGGCAACATCTGAACCTTTTGAATCTCTTCTGTTAGTGCAAAATCCTGCTGTTCTTGATACTCCTTCTGGTGAATTATGAAATTCTAATACTTTTAGCACATCAACTGGTTCAGCTGACAAAGAAAAAAAATAAGTTACCATCTTATATCTCCTCACTTTGCAGACTTTAAGAAGAAAATGCATTTCATTACAAAAGCACATGTGTAATCATAACAGTAACTGCATCCTGGTTTGATTTACTGCAGACAACTCCTACATCAGAACGCTCTTTTAACGGGATTATTAATTTTTAAATATGTAAAGGTTCATTAAATCTAACAGAAATGTTATGATCAGATAAATGAATACCCTGACTCATTGAAAATCACAGTTTTCCAAAGGCATGGAAATTTGGTGATTTAAATTTATAACATTATTTTCTTGAGTAACTTAGAAGTAGAACTAATTTCAAAAGTTTCAGAAGCGTTCAGCTACTAATCTTGTAGCTGAATCTACAGTTGCTAACATTAGGAAATATTTTGACTCTTATGAATGCTTTCTCAAATGCCATGTCATAAGGAAGAAGCTTATCTCTTTTCCAATTGGAGAAAAAGAAAACTGTTTTGACTGCAAGGAGTGCACAGACAGAATCATAGAACGGCCAAAGTTTAGGGAGTTACTTGTCTTCTACCTACAATAGCACCAGGAAATGGATGTATTTAGATCAATCTTTATTTAACAACTAAATTTTCAGAAGGAACATCTTTAGTCAGAAGTCCAAAAAAAGTAAGTTAGTGGGATGGATTGTTTTGTCTTCTATTTATCAGAATTAAGCCATTCATCAGATCTTTACTTAGAAATTTAGTAAAAGAAAGACCTGTGCTACTTAACCTGCCCTTAAAGAGAAAAGGCACCCAACCATCTTCTCTGACTGTCTTGGTGGCCACCTACTTGACACACTTCAGTTTATCATTATCTTTCCTACACTGGGAATTCAAGACATGGTCTAATGAGTGCTGAATCAAATAAAGTGAAAAATTTTGTGCCTTAGTCTGCTGTCTGCACTCCTTTTTATGCAGGTCAATATGTTTTAGGCTTATTTACAGTCATGGTATGCAATTGATGCTTAGCTTTCTGTTTGTGTGAAGCTCTATAGCCTTTCAACAGAGCTGCTACCCTAGACAGTACTGTTGCAAGAGGTTTTTCAGTTTCAGGAGTATCATTATTTTCAAGCCAAAATTCAAATGGACTGTCTTGTCTTTAGGTGCCAACTACAATGCATTTATGCTTGTTGTCTGACAGTTCAAAATTGTAGATCCAAAGAAATTCAGAGCTACTATTTCACTGAGATTGTTACAAAATTGTTTTGGAATATATCACAGAATTGTAGGGGCTGGAAGGGACTTCTGGAAATTGAGTCCAGCAGGTTGCACAGGTAGAAATCCAGGCAGGTCTTGAACATCTCCAGAGAAGGAGACTCCACAACCTCTCTGGGCAGCCTGTTCCACTGCTCTGTCACTCTGACAGTAAAGAAGGTATTCCTTGCCTTAATATGGAATTTCCTGTGTTCCAGTTTTTGCTCCTTGCTTCTACTGTTGCTCACCACTGAAAAGAGTCCAATCCCACAGACTTGACTCCCATGCATTTGAGTCTATGAACAGTGATGAGATTGCTTCTCAGCCTTCTCCAAGACTGAAGGGTCCTAGATCTTTCAGCCTTTCCTCACATGGGATATGCTCCAGGCCCTTTATCATCCTTTGTCGTCCTCTGCTGAAATTTTTCAAAGAGACTGCTGTCTTCTTTAGAACTGGGGAGCCCAGAACTGGAAACAGCACTCCAGATGTGTCCTCACGAGGGCAAAGTAGAGGGGAGAAGATCGCTTCCCCCAAACTGCTGACCATGCTCTTTTCAATGTACCCCAGGATACCACTGGCCTTCTTAGCCACAAGGACACACTGCTGGCTCATGGCCAACCTGCTGATCACCAGGACAACCAGATCCTTCTCTGCGGAGCTCCTTTCCAGGTCAGGCCCTAATCTGCACTGATGCATGCAGTTATTTTTCCCCAGATGCAAGACTACTATTGCTCTTGTTGAAACTCATTGGCTTTCTCTCTGCCCAACTCTCCAGTCTGTCTAGATCTTGTTAAATGCCTGCATGTCCTTCTGGTTGCCAGCCACTCCTCCCAGCTTTGTAAAAGACCAGACCCAGCACCGACCTCTGGGGAGCACTGCTAATTATAGGTTTCCAACCAGACTCTGTGCCACTGACTCTGTAAGTAAATAATAATAATAATAATAATAATAATAATAATAATAATAATATCTTTAATCAATGGAAGTTCACCTCAGAAGGGCCAAGTACTGAATAAGCAAGCAGTGACAGTATATAGTTTGCCTACTGCACATGTTTTCTGCCGAAGAAAAAATCAGGTGTTGATTCTCATACACCCTACAGACAATGGTTTCCCTGAGATATATATATAAGATATATATATATACTTTAATGGAAACATGATTTTAACCGGTCATTTCTCCACTAGGACTTTTCTGCAGCTTTCTTGTTGACAAACTCATAACCACCACAGCTGGAAAAACAAAATCTTACATGACTATCAAAGCTGAGTAATGTATTTGGGAAATACGACCTTTCTACATATCATTGAAATGCACTGTGGCATTGACTATTGTTAATTTACTCTCTGTTTGTATTCACTTTATAAGTTGATAAATACTAACTTAAGCCCTGAAATTCATTGTGTATGCATATTCAACTATTTAAAGGATTGCTTTCATGCAACAAACGAAAGTGTGAAAACATAGGCAAAGTGGTATTCTAATTAGAGTTCCTCTTGGACACATCTGTCTTTATTCTTTTTTCTTACTATTTCTAGCCAGTTTTGCTATTATTTCCCTCACTGAGGCATCTTCTCACTGGTGACGGGTGACAGGATGAGGGGAAATGACATTAAGTTCAGCCAGGGGAAGTTTAGGTTGGAGATCAGGAAAAACTTCTTTACAGAAAGGGTTTTTAAGCAGTGGAATAGTCTCCCCAGGGAAGTGGTTGAGTAACCATCCCTGAATGTGTTTAAAAACCTTTTGGATGTGGTGCTCAGGGACATGATTTAGCGGAGGGTTGTTAGGGTAGTTTAGTCAGGTCATGGTTGGACTTGATGATCTTTAAGGTCTTTTCCAACCTGAGTGATTCTATGATTCTATTATTCTATTTCCTCTATTGCCAAATATGACGAAGTCAACTATGTGTTAAACCTAACTTTGAATAACACAGGATTTGAAATTTTCTTAATCAGCCTAGAATGTACATAACTTCTTCTGGTTTAAAACATAATCACAAATAATGCCCATAAGCTTTACTTTTTTATTTTAATTCCATTTAATTTTTTCATCTGATCATGCTGTTAAATACAACTCTTAAATGTTTATTACAAGCTAATACTACATACAATTTGAATAAATGCTATAGTACACACCTACTCTAACTCTGTTACTTAAAATGTCCTACAGATTCAATATGTTCAAACAATTTTGAAAGCAAAGTTACAGTAGTCAGCAAATTCTGAAAAACCTGCCTTATTTCTCTGGATGTTAGTACGTATAAAGCTCTTTCTATAGGTAAACATATTTCTAAAGCTACTGAAGGAACACTCACATTGTTTTTGATAGCTGATGGCTATTTTTGCAGTATCTATAGTTAATTTAAATCAGTCACTGGAAAACTCAGTGAAAGTATAAGTCAACCACTGCTACATTCTTTTTTCTTTGGTCTTTTATATAATTTGTACCAGATTATTTTTCTTCATTATTTTTTTTAGAACAAAGGCTGGCTAGAAAAGTCTTCATCCTTAAACAAGATTATTCATTACTTCATGCTGATTTTGCTGCTAAAAAACTTCCAGTCATAAAACAGAATCATAAAAGTGAGCAATGTTCAAACCACAAATTCTAAATAACAAAAATGAACATTTGTTAAAAGTCTGTAGGTGATATTTATTTCCTCAAACTGTGAGTCAAGGCTCATGAACAGTAAAAAAAAAAAACAAAAACAAACAAACAAAAAAAACAAAAAACTACTCAGTTTACAGTGGTTTCTAAATAGAAAAGGCATATAAATTTAAAAAAAAAGATTAATCAGTTCATCTCCAATAAAAAAGCAGACAGGAATTCATAAATTCTAATATTCTTCTCTACAAAAGCATGCTTTTCATAGAAACCTACTTAGCATTCATTCATAGAATCATTATTATCCCCTGTGGAAAACGATCCAGAAGGATCATCAAGTCCAACTCCTGACACTCATCCATCATCCAAACACAGGATTTCTGATTTTGTGCCTCTTCCTCAAATATTTTTGCAACATTCTTGTGTACGCCATTTTTAAAATCAGATTAGGATGCAACCTGTCTTATAGTTCAGGCCTGAAAGTCTCATAGCTGCCAGTGCCACTGAAAATAGGGCCTCAGTGTTAAAACTTTGCCTCTACTTTTTTTCTGTGTCAAGCTGTCGTATATTTAGATTTCTGCAAACATACTCTCGTACTAGAAATTTTGTTCTGGTGAATTTCAACACTTTTTACATTTACTGAAACTATGGAAATATGGAAATGTAGTTGGAACAGCCATAAACACCTATATTTATCCTTACATTTACAGACAGGCTGATATGGCATTAGTCTCAAAATTCTTGAGAAGTGCACCATGCACATTCAAATCACCTACACAAGACCTCTACAGAAAGCACTAAATGCAGTTGCTCTTAATAAGTCACAAAGCTCACACATTTGGGAATCCAGCCAAAAATAAACAGGTCTTGGAAAACAGCAGAACTTACATTCTAACTGTTTAGAATTATCCTGTCTGAAGTATAAAGGAGGATGAGAAATATGTTTGCATAGCCAACAACTGACCTGCTTAGAAGACCAGGATAGAGAGGTAGAAAGATGACTCTCAAATTCAGGGAAGAACACAGTCTAGCAGCTATCAACGGAGACCGTGATTGCTCTCTGCCAGTTTCGTAAGGTTCTGCAGTGCTCAGTGTCAGTCTGACCTGTGAGCTTCATCTCTTCCTGTAAACCATCTCTCCTCTAGCATGTTTCTCCCACATAATTGCTGGGATGA